CCCTCCCCCGCCCTGCCTCACCCAGCCCCGCCCTGCTTGCCGCTTCCTCCAACAAACACACTCGCGTGCGATATTTCAACGACCCACCCTCCTCTCCCTCCCCCGCCTCGTCTGCAATTGTCCGGTAGCCACCTGCTGCTGGGAGGCAGGGAAGGAGGAGGGGGCAGAGGGAAGAGGGAAGACCAGACGACAGACGAAACACCGCCGCCGTCGTGGGGTGGGGTCAACTTGGTATGCGAGCAGAAAACCTCCTCCTCCTCCTCCTCCTATGCTGCTGCTGCTGTTCAATGTACCAATGTCCAGATTGGTCCAGATATTCTGTGTGTTTCTTTAGGAACAGAGTTGGCGTGGCGCGTAGTTCGCCTGCTGGGAAATCTGCACGACCGTCCCTTCGGGAAAATGGTAGCGTTGCCCCCCTCCCTCCCTCTCTCTCTCTCTCTCTCTCTCTCTCTCTCTCTCTCTCTCTCTCTCTCTCTCTCTCTCTCTCTCTCTCTCTCTCTCGTTCTAGGTGCTGAAATGGCGAGGCAAGAGTCAGTCGATGTGCCCTTTCGTTAGTAACAAAATTGTTTGAACTAAATGAGCAGAAAGACCAAAGGTGTTGACTACACACTAAATGTATTTGTAGTTTTTTGTGCATACGTTTGCACAAAGTTGCGCATACATTTCGATTTACACGAATTTGTGCGCAAATATGTACGAATTTGTGTATACGTATGCATAAAAACATGCACTTCTTCGCACAAATTTGTGCGAATGCAATGTATGCGCAACTTTGTACAAATAAAACCTACAAATCTGTTAGTGTGTACGTTTCATCATAATATAATGTAAACACGCTTTAATAAAAAAAATCGGGTTAAGGAAAAATAGGAATACGTGTAGGGAAAAAGGGGGGCAGCCTTATCCTATTCTTTCTCTCCCTCTCTCAAGGTCGAGGACGCCTTCGGGCATCTCACCTCCTCGTTCCCTTTCCCTTCAGCAGGTACCGGGTGTTTCTTTGAATGAGCTGCAGCACTACGAGACTGCATACTCACTAGGCGGGCAGGGGTCATGGTGCGGCAAGAGAGCAGCATTCGAACATGAACCGACATTGTTTGATTCGTTTCAACCATTCTCATTGGTAACGAGGTCGTAACCGGCCCTGGGCAGTTTCAAACATTTCAAATTTAAACCAAGGTTTACTTTAAAAAGATGTTTAAAATTGGGAAATTTTATTGTAAGGATTGTTACAATACTGAAATACTGGAACAATACTCACCATCGCTGCTACAACGGGAGTCGACCTTCCGTCTTTTGAGCTTCAGGTCCTGGAACAGGCTCATGGTGTCCACCTCACAGGGCGCGCTGGTGAGGGTCATGCTTCCTGCAGAAGGGGAAAAAAGAATCTATTAATTTTAAGGCAATTTTTTATAGTGTTATCGTGTTGCGCACGATTGTTGAAGAGGCACTGTTAAAAATATGTTTGTAGATGTACGATATATTTTGTAATTTGCTATTTACAAAATATGTATACAACGTCCCACTCTTGCCCTTCATTTAATTCCAAGTCGATAGGCAATGCTTGTAAATGTGCAATATCGAATTGTAATTGTACGTTATCTCTCATAGAAAATTTTCCTGTACCCTGAACGACAATTTCTCAAAGTGGGCGGACACCTCCGCGAGAATTCCTAACTTAATTATTGGGATAGCTCTTCAAAAAGATGGCCATGATTCACTGTACGTATCCATCCAGCCATCATGGGGCGTAGCGTAGAGGTCCAACCTGACCTGACATGAGCGTGGCCCAGTGGCCCACGACATCAGAGCAGGCATGGGCGCTCAGCCATCACTTTCCACCAGATTCTATTTCATCTCGTTGAAATGTGAATGTGAAAGTGGAAGGCGAGGCGGAGGTGAGGAACAGCTGATTAGAGCACGTCAGCTCGACCTCTCAGCTGATCCGAGGCAGGGATCGGGCAGGGAGGATCCGGATTGTGTTCTGGACCGGGATCTGGGATGGGATGCTCGTGATGTGGGATTTACCTCTCGCGCGTTTGGGGGAACTCACCCGGTGGGCCCGGTGCGTCCGGCTGGCAGCCTTTTTCTAACGCAAATAGATAAGAACACACTTTTTTCTGCCTAACAGGTACCTTCCCACCACTGCAGTTCTTTCCTAGACCATAAAAAGATGTCCTTGGTTTGATTTGCCTTAAATTTTCAATACCAATGTTCTTACTTTAACGTTACGCTTTCTTACGCTCCAAATACTATAATTAATATTTCTTAACGTAAGGTCGATGTTCTTTGAAATTTAATGCCCTGCTGTAGAATTAAGAACGACTTTTTTTTCGGTGTACAGAGACCGCTCTACCGCCATCATCGTCTGCTTTCGTTCACCCTCAACGAAATTGAACTTACCGGCGTGCACCGGCGTACTAAAAGTGTCCATCACTTTGTCGGATACTTTTGTGAGTTTGACTGGGAATTCTTGTGCTTTCAAGTGTTCAACTCTAAAGCGTATGACTGCATCCAAAAATTGAATAGAGCCAAAAGTCAAAAGATTTTGTAATGCTTCACGATTTTATAATATTCTTAGCTTTACCGAATCACTTCCGTACGAATCTTTTTTTACACATTCAGATACTCTTGAACTCCTTCAGCCTTTCTCAGCTGACTCTCCCCTCGCCTCTAGTCGCTCTCAGTCAGCTGAGCTCGCGGCTCACCGCGGCCCGCCCGCGTCCGACCTTTCCAAATGTTGGCGCGCTTCGGCCGCCGACTCTGCCCCACTCCTAACCTCCGCCGCCTTGTTCCTACGTTCCCCGACAGATCGCGCTAGCGTCCGGAACTCATTACACGCTCGGCGCGCGCGACTCGGTCCTCGGCCCTATCGTATACACTGTGACAAATCACAACAGATTATGTTCGGAAAATAAACATGTGAAAGATGCACTTTTGCACCGAAGATTGTAGAAAAGTACAACAAAGTGTTATAAGCTAATTATCTTACAATTCCATAATGTTGCTGTATTCTACTGATCAAACAAAACAATTTCGGGATGAATAAGTTTGGTGGCGGCCTCTGATCCCGGCAGCAGCGGTCTCTTTGACTTCTGTACTGTACCACGGGCCACAGGCTGAGAGAGTTGTGTGTACAGTCTGGCGCGGGTTGTTGAACGGCTGGCCGCGAGTGACGTCACCACCATAGTCCCGCCTCTAGGATGAAGAGAAAACGGTCGCGCTTCCCCTTTCTGCGCGGCGCCCACGCGGCAGATGTATCATCATTAACGGGGAATTTTCATAAATGAACAGAAGCGGTTAAATATAGATCAACGAGGTTAGTGACCGCGTATTGGTTCAACCTGTGCCTTTAAGAAGGGAGCTTCTGACTATTTAAACTCCACCTTACCAATTTCTTTCCCTGGCTCAGCCTCTTTATCCCACACGGCGTCCTCTGGCCCCGCCACGGGGTCCGCCCGTCATTTCCCTTTCTGGCGGTCGCTGACCCCGCGGGCCCGCGGGGCCCCACCTGGAGAGAAGTAGGTCGCGGGGCGGGGGCCCGCGGGGCCCAGCCCAGCCCAGCCGGCGGGGACCGGCTGTAAACCATGAATAACAGCTCAAGTCGGAAAATATGGAGCAGTCCCGGATTGCTAGCGTATATTTTTGTTTTTAATAAAAGTATTCCAGGTTGAAAAATAGCAGGAAATGTACAACGTTTATTGAAGACTTCCCTATTTCCATTATCATTGAAATTGTTAAGTGCAGTATTACGTTACCATAAAATTTCAATTCACAGTACTTCACCGAAATAGAAAAGACTACAAAAATTATCACATTTTTTGCGGGAGCATAGAAGTTTCTATGTTCCATAAAAAGGCGAAAAGTCCTGCCTTTGTATTACGATGGAACTTTTTAATAAAAATGTCAAAAGCTTGAGATTGACGTGTTTCCATAGTTTAAATGAAGATGAGAAACGAACCGAGCTATATACTCATCTTCCCCCGTACGAGTGCAGCTCGCGTCGCTCATTTCACTTTCGCGATTCCCCGTCCTCGTCATTTCACTTTTATTTCACATTCCGCGTGCCGCTTCTTCTTTTTTTTTCTTTCCCCTCTGATCCTCCACGTGTGATTCATTCCTCATTCCTCGACGCCCCGCCTTGCGCGGCGAACAGGTTCACTTCGCGGCTGTGGCGTGGCGTGGCGTCTCGGCGCGTCTCGGACGAAAGCAAAAGCAGGCGTGTTTGGTCCGGTTCATGTCGTAGTCGATCCCGCGTGAGCTTCTTCATCTTCTTCTTCTTCTTCTTCTTCTTCTTCTTCTTCTTCTTCTTCTTCTTCTTCTTCTTCTTCTTCTTCTCCTCCTCCTCCTCCTCCTTGCGTGATAACCATTGAATGAGTTGGAGCAAAATGTCTTATGATTTCCTTTACAGCGCCCATTTGGCTTATTGTAAATGTCTATTGTTTAATTACGTAATTTATTCACGTCATAACCGGGAAATAACACTATACAGAGCCCGAAAGTGATTTGGTGCCACTCTGGCCCCTGCCCATAACAGTTAACCCTTCTATCGGCGCAAGCACCTCAACTGTGACGCGAGCTCCCCCCCCCCTCTTCCCCCGGGACCTTGCCCCCCAGGCCCCCCAGCGTGACTCGTCGCGGTACGCTACGGACGGGCTCAGTCGACCGAGAACATACCGCACGCCGCACGGCCCGGCCCGGCCCGGCCCGCTGTCACGGGTTCAAATCTCGTTTGCACCCGAGACTATTTTTTTCCCCGCTTGGCAAGGCAACAAGACCGCCGTATGGAAGTGCCGTGGAACCCGAAATCCACGCTATTTCCACTTCAACAAACGTGCGGCAATGAAACTCTGCGCGTCGCAAGCATCGACCTCCGCGTCAACCCACGCCCACGACGCCGACGTCGTCGGCCTCCGGGTCGTCGTCAGCCTCCGATGCGTCGTGGACATCCACGACGCCCACCTCCTCCCTCCGCGTCGGGTCCACATCCGCCTCCACACCTCCCGCAGACGGCCGTCCCCCTCCTGCGCCCGCCCCTCCCCTCCTCCACCCCCCCTCCTGCCGCTACTGCCGCCGCCAGCGCCGCCGCAGCAAGTGTGTGCAAAACTGGGTCGACGGTTCGTTGACTTGTGCCTTATACAACAGCGCACCGCTCTCTCTCTCTCTCTCTATCTCTCTCTCTCTCTCTCTCTCTCTCTC